GCATTTCAATTCCTCCAAGGCTCTGTCTATTTTTTAAGGAATGTATCCTCTGTCTTTTATATTCCATTAGGCCCTGATTATTTACTCACATTAGTTATTTGAGCCCTTTGTATATACAATCACTTAAGCTCTGACCTTCAGTTTATTTAAGTTAACTATTCAGGACTGTGACTTACCTGTTTGACTTCTAGCTCCTGGCCTCACTGTAAGCAAGTGTCCTGTACCATGCCACCCTGCTGTGGAGCCAGTGGACTATGGACTGAAACCTCTACAAATTGAGAGCCAAAATTAACTTTTCTTTCTTTCACTTGTGGGTATGGGCATTTTGTCTTGCAATGAGAAAGTATCTGAAACAGATTTTGGTACCAGGAGTGGGGTTGTTGATGTGACACTACCTGAGCATGTGGTTCAGAAATTCTTGGTACAGGCTTGCTGAAAGTTATTGGAAGGATTTCAAGATGTCATCTGAAGAAGTAGCCCTAGAATATTGTACGCTAAACTTGCTGGGAGATTATCATCAGCTTCCAGAAGACCACAATGCTGATAGAAGTGCAAACCTTAGGAGTGTCTTTCTGCTCCTTTTATATTCTATCTAGGATACTGGGATTAGGGTGGGTGTCAAACCAATCAGTCTACTGATTTAGAAATCACATGCCCTTAATTCTACCACCTTATTCCTACCATTGTACCATGAACCAATCACACACTCTAGATCCAGCCACCTCTGAAAAAGCCCCACTTGTGACTGCATAAGTCTTTACGGGGAACATCTAAACACAACCCATAACAGGAAGCAAGTACTTTAGACTTGAAAAACAAAAAGATTGCCTCGAGGGCATCCCAGAATTCATGTCCTACTTATGCCAGATACAAACTGACAAAAGTGTAACCTTTCACTTGAATATAAGGCTCTGGGAATCCTGGCTTGAGAAGGGTCTTCTAGAGAACAACTTCCTGTTATTCATTTCACTATGTCCAGATCCCATCACTTTGATACCACTGTTGCCATGTTCCTAGGAGGCCTGGCTATTTCTGATATGAGATGTTGGCATCATCTACATGATCCAGTTTTTTATTCTAGACAGGACGAAGGAAAGAGTAATGGATCCTGGAGTCTTCCTCCTGGATTTCAAAGAGAGTTGTGGGAGACAAAACAACGTGTGAAGTTATGGGATAAAGCTGATGTCACAGGAAGAGGAGATACCAGGGATTGGAGATGACAGGAATACAGAATTTCTGTTGAGAAAAGCCACAGGCAGAAAGTGGAGCCAGCCAAAGAGAGGCTATTAGGATGAAAGCCAAAAAGGCCTTGGAATGGAGCCACACATGCCCTGTGGAATTCACATCTCATTACCATGTGCTCTCTTTATTGGACCTACAGGACTTTATGTTTGCCCTACTGGGTTCTGGAATTTCTGTGGTCCTAAGCCTTTCTATATTCCTGTTTCTCCATTTTATTTTATTTTAATTTTTAAAAAAGATAACCACTTATTATTTATAAATTATGAGGAAGAAGTGAGGATAGGCTCTATAGAAAGTTAATGGGCCTAAAAACACAGTCTTGTTTTTATTTTTATCATTAATTGAGTTTATTGGTACAATTTAGGTATACATTATGATCATATTCATCATATGTAATTTGTACCTATACATATCTTGATTTTTATTTCTTTTTTCCCTCCTTTCCCTTATATAACTCTTCCCCTTCTTATATACAAAAGCTTTGTTTCCATTTTATCTTTCTTTTCTCATTTCTTTCTTTTCCCTTCATTCCCTTCCTTCTTCCCCCTCCCTTGTTCCTCTTCCCATTTGAATATTTTCTTCCATTTCACAATGTCTACTATACTTTTTGGTCTTTATTTAGACTTTCAGTTTCTCACACCAGAGAAACAATGCAATATTTACACATGAGTGTCTGATTTATTCCTCTTAAAAGTGTGGTCTCTAGGTGATGCATTTACCTGTTAATGTCCCAAGTTTTTCCTTCTTTATGGCGAGTAGTACAGCACTGTATTAAAAAATATATATCTTCTTTATCCAGTCATCATTTTCGGTATTTATGCTGTTTCCAAGATTTAACTACTACAAACTCTGCTGCTATAAACATGGGTGTGCATATATAGTATGAGTGTCATATGATGGTTTTAATTCTTTTGGGAAGATACCAAGAAGGGGGATTGTTGTATGAAATGGAACCTCTAGTCCAAGTGTTTTGAGGTATCCCCATACTGATTTCCACAGCGGGTGCACCAATCTACCCTCCCACCATAAGTGCAGAAGTGTTTCTTTTCCCCCAAAGCCCAGTCAACATTAATATTGGTGGATTTCTTAATAATAGCCATTCTTTCTGGAGTGAGTTGGAATCTCAGCATTGTTTTAATTTGCATCTCTCAAATAGAATTCAAGAGCAAAAGAAACAACAAAAGTTACTTAAAACCATGGAAATTAAATAACACCCTCTGAACTACCAATGGATCATAGATGAAATTAAAGAAATTAGACAATTTCTACAATTAAATGATAATGCTGATATAACATAACAGAACCCGTGGGTTGTAATGAAAGCAGTCCTGTGAGGAAAATTTATAGTGGTGAACTCTCACATCAGGAAAACAGAGTGAGCTCAAATAAACAACCTAATATTGAACCCCAACTTTTGGAAAAAGAACAACATGTCAAGCCCAAAGCTTGCATGAGGGAGGAAATTATAAAGATTACAGTAGAAATTAATACATTTGAGACTAATAAAACTGTACAAATAATCAATGAATAAAAGAATTGGTTTATTGAAAGATTAAATAAAATTGATTAACATTTAGTCAACCTCATCAAAAAAGGAAAGAAAAGACTCAAATTCATGCAATTAGGAATGAAATGGTGAAATCACAATGGATCCTGCAGAAATTCAGATCATCAATACCTATTTCCAGAGCCTTTATTCTAATAAGATGGAAAACACAGAAGAAATGGACAGATTCATACGAATTGCAGAAGCTGAATCAGGATGATATAAAAATCTAAATAAACCAACATCAGTCAATGAAATTGAAGATGGAATTAAAAATCTACCAATAAAGAAAAGCCCAGGTCCTGATGAATTCACTGCTAAATTCTACAAGAAATTTAGAAAAGATCTAATGCCGCTACTCTTTAAACTTTTTAATGAAATGGAAAGGGAAGCAATACACCCAAAGTCATTCCTGGAAGCAGGTATTACCCTGAGACCAAAATAAGAGAAGGATCCAACCAAAAAATGGAACTACAGGCCAATCTCCATAGTGAACATAGACACAAAAATCCTCAATAAGATACTGGCAAACAGAGTGCAACAAGTCACCAAGATTATACATCATGACTAAGTAGAATTCATCCCAGGGATACAGGTATGGTTCAACACACACAAATCAATAAATGTTATACACCATATCAACAGAGCCAAGAATAAAAATCACACCATCATCATAATAGGCGCAGAGAAAGCATTTTACAAACTTCAACACCAATTTATGATAAAAACCTTAGAGAAAGTTGGAAAAGATGTTTTTTATCTCAATCTGATAAAAGCCATCTATGACAAACCAACAGCCAACATCATACTAAGTATTCTCCATTTTAAAATGGGAAGGTTTACCCTGTGACATTATATCTTGGGATTCTGGAACTTGTTTGGTGAATTTTATGGAGAGTCACAGTTAAGTTTGCCTTGAGTCTTGGAGGAGACTTTTGATTTGGGGGTCTCTTAATCTTACCAAGTTCACAGTCAAGAATAACCATGACAGAAAAAATGCTTCAGCTTTCAGCTTGGTCTTTTTTAATGCATCTGCCTGAGAGGCCAGGGATCTTGCAAGTGAGTTCCTCTTCCTCACTCATGTTCACAACCTCTCTACTTCCACTTCACAATGTACAATAATCCTGAGTATTACTTTTAAAATAACATTTATTTGTCATAAAAATACTGCTCTCAAAAGGAGAAGTATGAAGCAACATCATTTGTGGCAGAGAGCACTAAAAAAGCAAAGAGACTTCAGGCAAAGATGCTACAGGCAGCAAGATTTGGTCTCTCCAGAGTCCAAAGTGCTGAGATGCAGGGTAGCTTTTCTCTCTCATCCTTCCACACCCATCAACCTGGAGCCAGTACCTTGTCTTCATTTCTCATCTCTTTGATGATATCAGTTTAGGATTCAATCCAAATGTGAGGCAGATGTCATAGGAATGCATTTTTGGCACACACATTTGATTTAAAAATTCAGAGCTCTTTTCAGATGGAAAGTGTGTGTGATTAGCCTGGTTCCTTTGAAATTGAAGACTGGAGTTCCTTATGTGGTTAGATGGGAACTTTAAAAAAATTCCATTTATCTAACCTTTAGGTCCAGATTTTCATAAAAATATATAAGACAAATGCATGGTGTGCCATAGAGTTAGTCTTTAATGATCATTTCTTAATTTCCTTAGAGAGCAACCTGTGGTGATTACTATTGTTCTAAAGAGTTAATTGCTCATATTCCACATAGAAATGAGAATTTCTGTGTTTAGCTTATTTCACCTACTATAATAATGTCAGATTCAATCCATGCCATCATAAATGGCAGAATTTATGTGTGTAGGTGCAGATAATATTTCTTTGTTTACATACATGGTGTTTTATTTTTAATCACCCACTGATGGATACTTATTTTTATTAAACACCATGGCTATTATGAATGGTGTGGCAATGAGCATGAATGTGCAGGTATTTTTACCAATAGATGAATAGATCATCTGTCCATTGTGTTTGTGCAGAGCAAACATTTGGAAAGGATTGAAAAAAAGGATAGTGGCTATATTTGGTGTTTCAGAAGAAGACAAAATTTTTCACAGAAATTATTTTCTTATTTTTTACCAAATTAATTAATATCTGGAGAAGAGCAGCCTTTTATTTGAGTCATGGACACACATTTGGAAAAGGACCCATTTCAGCAATAACTGATGAGAATATTTGGTTGCTTCAGGAAAATTCAAGGTCATCTGGCTTCTAAAGACCTCACCTGATCCTGGGATTGCAGAATCCTCTTCCATGCTGTCTGCACATCCTTGTTTCTCAGGGTGTATATGAGTGGGTTGAGCACAGGAGTGTTAATGCAGTAGAAGAAGGACATGAACTTGGCCTGAGTGTGATTTGCTGGAGGCTGGAGGTACATGTAGATGGCAGGACCAAAGTACATAGTGACCACCAGCAAGTGGGAACTGCAAGTGCTGAGTGCCTTGTGCCTTCCTTCAGCTGAAGGGAATTTCAGTACAGCCCTTGCAATGAAGATGTAGAAGATGACCACCATCAGGGGAGCCATCCCTGAGAAAGGGATGGCTCCAATAGCCAGGGTCAGCTCATTAGCAGTGGCATCCCCACAGGCCAACTTGATGAGCACAGGCACCTCACAGAAGAAGTGATCCAGGGTGTGGTGCCCACAGAAGGGAAGCTGGAGGGTCAGTGTGTCATGGAGCAGAGAACTGGCCAGGCCACTGGACCAGGAGGCAGCTGCCATCTGCACACACACCCAGGGATGCATTATGAGAGTGTACTGGAGTGGCTGGCAGATGACCACATAGCGATCAATGGCCATCACGGCCAGCAGGGCACATTCAGAGCAGGCTGTCCAGCTGAAAATATAGAGCTGTGTAATGCATTCCCAGGAAGCAATGATCTTTTCTGGTCCCCACAGGTTGGCTAGCAGCTGGGGCACAATAGTGGAGGTGAGACCAAGGTCCAGTAGAGAGAGGTTGTCTACGAAGAAGTACATGGGTGTCTGGAGTCTGGGGTCCAACAGGGAAAGGAGGATAATGGAGCTGTTCCTCACCAGTGTAAGTAGGTAGAAGACCAGGACCACTGCAGAGAGTGGCCTCTCCAGCCACGGAAACTCTGAGAATCCCAGTTGCACTAAAGTGTTGGGAAAGCTCATGTTTCCCCTTTCCATAGCAGCTGCTTTATATGTACCTAGAAGTAAAAGGATAAGTTTTTTTTGTATCAGTGATCAAACTCAGGACCTTATGCTTCCCAAGCAGGCTGTATGTGACTGATCTATGTCCCTGGTCCAGGAAGGGACAAATTTTGATGATAAATATGAATTCTTCATTTGAATAACTTCATGGTAACATGTAAATGCCTCAGAGAAATAAAATACTATATAATTTGTAACATTGTTCTTGGCCTATTTAACACATCAGTAGTGTTTCACCTTTTTGGACTACTTATAATTGATGACAATTTTTCCAGGAACTACTTATAATTGATGACAATTTTTCCATATAATGTGGCTGGGTTGGTTTGGGATATATCAAATACATCACATTTATTGTGTACTTTATATATATTATAATCAAATAATTATGCAACTCACCATTAAACAAAGTCAGTGCAAGTCCTGACCTTGTTTTCCTGTCACTAAATGGTCCCATCTGGTGATAACAGAAGACAGTGACACTCTAAGTGTGTTGCATATGTCCTGTCTTCTCCATAAACTCCATTTGGTGGCTGTCATTGCAGAATACTCTGCTTCCCAAAGACAGGATGATGAAAATGGAAGCAGGCTTTTCAGTGCTTTTGTGCCAACCTCAGGAAATATCCATCTTGACTAATTCAAAATGTGTTAAAATTTGAAGTTATCTCGAACATAACTTTCAGCCATCATCATTTGTGATCTCACACAGTTTTTCCTCTTCTAGCATAGATGAAATTGTATCACCTAGCTTCTTTTTATTATTATTACTTTTTATTATCTTCTTAGTTTTGGTCACGTCGCTTCTTCACAAATGGGTAATGGATTCATTTCTTCCTCAGTGGGGGTCTTTTGTGGTTGTAGAGTAATTCTCATATTCTTTCAAAAGCTAAAATAGTTGATCATGCACCAGCAGAGAGAAAGTAGACCTAGGCTTAGTCTCTTTTCCAAAATCTCTGCTATTGTTGCAACATACAGAAAAATTCATTCACTCATCACACCCATCATTCAAGTTTGGCTTTGAATGTAATCACTTTATCTGTTGACATGAACATAGTCGTCATTCTTTCCTGAAGTGACAGATTGAGTTTATTGAGCAGGTTGAATATATCACATAAGCAAGCAAGTTTTGCTACCCAATTGATGTTAACTGAAATATGCTGCTGGTGGTGACTGTATTTCCTCAAAGAAATCTCTAGAGCAGCTCTTGTAATTCAAAATCCCTAGCTGGTGATCAGCCTTTAGAAATCATCTCCCTTCTGCATATAAAAGAAGGCATATATGCTCTGTGTCTGTGTTCTGACAGAACTGTGAACACAGACATGAGGAGTGTCTGTGTGTACTGTAGTGTGGTTGTTAATTTTATCACACTTGAAAAATATTGTTTAGTTCAGGTGACACTGCTGGGCTAGCCAGGCTTTCTCTGCAGATCATCAGGGCATAGACTAACATGCAGTAATGACTTCCTTGACACAAATAGTGAGCCTAAAAGCCATGCAATCATGGCAGCCCCTCTGTCCATACATATCCCACCTAAAATGACCACTTCCATTTTCCTGCTGCATAATTATTCAAAGACTTGAGTAGCTTTGCTGTTGTGGTATTGGTTGGCAACAAAAGTGCATATAACATAGCCTTATTCATATCATCCGGAAATAATTCTTGTTGCTGTGTTGTCAACATCTGTAGAATTGTGAACCTGGATCATGCACAAGTGCCTATTTATCTATTGTGTTTCCAGATCCTCTGTGGTTTCAATTTGCTATTCACCATGCTAGCCAAGTGAAAAACACATGCCACCTTTTGCATTCCAGACTCTCAAAAGGATTTATGACAGATGTCCTTAGCAGTAGGCAGGACCAACTCTTCACCAAGATTGAAGGCCTTTCACCTTTATCAATGCTGCAAGCCACTAACAAAGATGCACTCAGGGCACACATATTTGATGAAGTGGTGACCTCTTGCAACGCTTTTCCCTCATCTTCACATTTTGTCATTTGAATAACTCCAAAGGATTAGATTTTCAAAATCAGGGTGTTTAGTATTCATGTGGCAAAGTAGTTTTTAAGGTTTCATAACTTAGTTGGATAGCCCATAACCACATATTATACAAAGCAGGGTTGCAGAAAATGTCACTTCTTTCAGTGAACCCATAATTTAAACAGAATTCTTGGTGATAGCTTTTAAATGCAGCTTGTTCTCTATTGGTGGTCTTAGAATCTTCTGCAGCCTCATCACTGAATCTTTCCCCTTTTTAGAGAAACTGTCACATGACTTTGTTTTGTATTTATTGTGGGTAGGGTTAGTTTGTGAGCTTATCAAAACTGCAGCTGAGACAAGTGCACACTTCAGGAAAGACACAGCTGGAAGTGGCAAATAAAGGTGGGTCATGTGCATGCTAAAATAAGTGTTGAATTTGACTTAAAGCCTGCTACCAGATGAAGGACATGAACACACTTCCCACTATAAAGCCTGACACCCCTTTCAGCTTAGTTGTGATATAGTACTAAGCTGATCTGAGTCTGCAAGCAATTGATTTATCATTCTTTCTGTAGTCAAACCTCTCTGCTGATGTTCATCTGTGTTTGCAGCTGCTCCCCAGTGGTACCATAACCCCCTCATCTCCATCTCAGATCACCAGGCTTTAGATTCTCATGGGGAACAAGGCAACCCATATCCCTCAAAAGTGCACTCCACAGTAGTGTTCATGCTCCAAAGCGAATCTAATGCCATGCTGATCTGATAGAAGCCAGAGCTCAGGTGGTCATGGGAGAGATGGTGAGCACTGTAGACACAGATGAAGCTTCAATTGCTCCCATGATGTGCACCTCCTTTTTTCCAGCTTGGCTCCATGGGCTGGTGCAGGTCTGTGGTTTGGGGGTTAGGGACCCCTGGCATGTGTGATGTGAAATTCATCCATGTTGTAGCTGTGAGAATTTCCTATGATTTTTCTTTTGGTACTGGGGATTGAACTCTGGACCCTCTGCTTGTGAGGAAGGTTGCAGAACCACTGAGCTAAATCCCTGAGTCTCCTATAATTTTAAAGATAGAGTACATTTGCCTTCTATGTAAGTATTACATATTCTTATACAGTTATCATCCATGCAGCCTTGCATGCTTCCTTTGTTTGACTATGGTAAGTAATCCTTCTATGATCAAGCTTAGTCCCCTTAAACTTCTGAAGCTGAAATCCTTTCCTGTTTTGTCTTATTTTCTAACTATGCCTAATAAATCAGCCTATGGTTCTCAGGAAACTTGCTGAACTGCTTTCTGTTTGATGAGGCATCAAGAACTTGCCTGGGATCTGTTGAGGACATATCTCCTCCACTAAACCATCCAAAGGTACAATAAATCACCACTAACTATAGTCCCCATGCTGTACCACAGATCTCTGCTTCTCCTTCCCATGTGGCTGTGACTCTGCACTTGGGGCCACTGTCACCCCAACCCTCTAGGAAGCCACTGTCTCAGCTACTGGCAACCACTACTTTGAGCTCAGCTTCTAGGAGATTAACTATTTCACCTCCCCACATGAGTAAGAGCATGGAGAGTTTAACTTTCTCAACACTTCTGCGGCTCTGGATATTATTAGAAAGACAAAGATAAACAATGTTGGCAAGAATATGGAAAAATGAATAAAATTATGGTCATTATGGAAGTGATATTAGAGCTAATAAAGATTAAAAATTGAACTATATAACCCATCAGTCCTAGTCCTGGGTACTTATCCACAGGAAATGGATCCAGTATTCTGCAGAGGCATCTACACTCTCATGGCCAATGAAGAATCATTCATGACAGCCAAAGTGGGATCAACTGGTTTCTAGCAGTGGTTGCATTGCCAGTAAAAGGTGGTAAATGTAAACATTGAATACCACCAACCTTCAAGAAAAAGTGAATCTTACCATTAATGGCAACCGATGAACATGAACCTCATTATGTTAAGTGAAGTAAGTCAGGGATAAAGAGTAGAAGTTTTTCTTCAAGAGTTTCACAGTGGAATATCACCATTACAGCTGTTGGGTTTGGTTTGGATCATCATTAAGAATTAAAGTAAAAGAATTTCTCATGAATGTCAGGAATGAGTAAAAGGTCAACCGTGGATCTCCTCATTGTCACACTGTCAGGCTCTTTGGTAGTTTCTGTGAGGATCCTGTTGATAAATCTGCCCATCCTCCTCCATTCCTCACACTCCCAGCTTGTGTGATTTCCAGAAATTGCGTTCCTTATTTCACCCTTGATTGCTTAAAGCCTATGGACCCACCTAACAGCCTCATTGTTGGCAGGTCATTAGACATCAGCAGGACTGAGGGAGAAAGGAGGAACAAAGTAGCATCATGTGCCAGGGAGAGAAAAACAAGGAAACACAGACCTCAGTGTGTGACCCATTTCACGCACTTATGAGGTCTCAGACCCAAGGACAGAGGGCCTCTGTGTGGATAATAAGGCATACAGCATCCCACTGCATAGCCTATGCCAAACAACACCAGAAAGGGGAAATTCTTTTATTTTAATAAATTTTTAAATTTTCTTTGTACATGTTTGCGGGGTATGTAGTTTACAATCATGATGTGGAGTGATTACATCTACATATTACAGTATCTTTCTTTCTTTCTTAAAAAAATAATCCCTTTTTCTTCCCTCACACTCCCTCTCTCTCCTTGCAGTTCCCTTCTCCCATTTTCATTTTTGTCGATACTGCATGTCTTGGCTCATGTTATGGCATATAATGTTTACATTAATTGGAGTTACTAGGTTTCTGTACATAGCACATCTTTATTTACCCTTCCCCTCCTCATCACCCCTCACACTTGTTCCCTTGGACCACTTTCCTAATGCAAGAGATCTGTCCCCTTGTCTCAGAAAGGGGCACATTCTTAAACACCCTCCTGCCTTGGGCCAGACCTGAGTTAGAGTTACCTTTTGTAATTTTTCTCTTCCTTTCTTACATTATTAAGGATTCTGAGGTAACACTGTCC